ATTTTGCCCTAAGATTTGTCGTCGCATTTCATTGCATTTTTATTGCATTTAATCAATTACTAACAAATTTGTGTAGTCGTTTGACTTTTTGCAGGTAAATATCATATGGCATGCATTTTTTTTCTAAAAAGTAAAAATGGCACAATTGGCAAGAGGACATGTGTAAGGAGTTGTGAGTGTGAGAGGTTGAGAGTTTGAATCTCAAAACCTTTTTCACATTTACCGAAGCAAACATCCGCTTCGTAGGTTAAATTACTAAACCTTTTGCTTTTTCATATTTATGTGCATATTTTGCCATGTTAATCTCCATGTGTGTTTAGGTCCGTAGATTTTAATATCAAAACCCTTTTTTAACAAAACCTTTTTTTAAAATCAAAACCCTTTTTTTATTTATTATTAAAACCTTTTTTTTAGTAAGACCTTTTTTAAAAACTGAAAAGCCTTTTTGTTCCGAAGAAAAAAAACCTTTTTGTTCCCAAAAAATATTTTCCCAAAAAAAAAACTGAAAAGCCTTTTCCCAAAAAAACTGAAAAGCCTTTTTTTTGGGATGAAAAGCCTTTTTTTTGGGATGAAAAGCCTTTTTTGTTCTAAAAACTGAAAAGACTTTTCCCCCAAAAACTTTTTTTTATATAATTTAAACTTAATTTTTTTATAATTTTAACTTAAATATTTTTTATTAAAAAATTAAAAACTTTTTTTATAATTAAAATATTAAAAAATTAAAACCTTTTCGTAAGGAACTCCTGATGTTTGATGTTTGTCGTGTCATTTTATGTACCCTTTTATTACTTTTTTTTCTTTTGGCATTTCATGTGCATGCTCGAGGTTGAGACAGCCCCACACTATTTTCCCCCCTCACTTCATTCTAAGTGTCATTACATATTTTCATATTCTTCATGTTTTCAGAAATGTTTCTTTGTTTCTTTATACCTTCTGCCTTTATTACTTTTCTTATTTCTGTACCTTAATTATTCCTCCATATAATGATTTGTCATATTTTCACATTTTTTACAGTTTTATCCTTCCGAAGGATTAGGTCCAGCCTTTTGGCCGCCGAGTCAATAGTCTTACCTTACCCCTTTAATGGATCAAACCCTGTTTAGCCTAGGTGTCCCGCCGTGGGCAAAATTGCTTTTATCCTAGTGTTAGGCCAAAAGAGTCGTCGTACTCTGTTTTAAGGTTTTCTGCCGTGGAATCCCTAATTTAACCATATTTTAATTTTAATTAACATTTTTTTAACATAGAGATTGGAGTCTCTGAACAAACATTGGCCACAGTCAAGACGTTTCTAACCTCCCTTTTGAGGGGAACTACAGTTACTCTGATTCCATTCCCGTAAGGATATTTAGGCACAAGATGCGATGTCTTGCCGAGTAAACTTAGAATTAACCCCTAGGTCTTTTTTAATTTTCAATCCTTTGTATATACCCTAAAGCAAAATAATTAATGAAATAAATAAAAAAAATAAACAAAAGGTTCCCGTAGAGTACTACGGAAGTTTAGGGTGCTAATACCTTCCCTAAATTTAACCAACCCCCGAACCTTAGATCTCTCCCTTTTAGGTTTTTCCTTTCTTTAACATTTCCTTCGGATAAATCAAAGACCGGTTGTAAATGAATTAAGATTCAAGTTAATCAATAGCTTGACATCCAAATTTCACCGCAACAATAGCCTTCATTATATCAAGGAGCTTAGTTTGAAAGGGAGTAGCAATACCAACATTAATTGAGGAAGTACCTAAGTAATTATCAATAACATCTTTAAAAATTCAACCACATGGTGATAAGCTAGGGTTGTCTCTATATTATCCATCCGTATTGCATTTTACTTTGAGGAAGTCGGAAGCACTAATAGAACCAGTGCTCCAAGACCATAAGAAAGACGTCACATCTCAACTCAAAATCTTAAGATTTTAAAAGTCAACACAAACTGATAGAAAAAATTTTGAGGATGATAAACTCATGCATAGAAGAATACATATGTCTCTTGCATATAATAGAAGCCATTTCCACCGACTTCTTAATATGCATTAAGTCATGATCAAATTTAATCTTACCTTGAGAAATTTTATGTTGTTCTTTGTGTTCCAAGTCTTCCATATAATGATAATGATGAGATTCAAGATCAGATTTTTTTAGTCAAGAGTTTCACCTTTGGCCAACAATAAAAAATAATTCAAAATTAGCCATGTCCAACCTTATGCCTACTAGATCCTCAAGCCATCTCTAAAACCTCATGGTGTGCATGCAATTTAAAATTAAGTGCTATGATGTTTCACTTTCCATGTTACAAAGGAAACACATATAAACCATGTTCGCTCCTCTTTTGAACAAGTTTTCATTTGTGGCCAACATAAACCTCAAGAGACAAGAGACTTAGCAAGTGGTATATAGGGATATGCTATATAGACTTTTTCTTCTATCTTGTATTAGGGGTCTGCAAAACATGAACAAGAAGAAGATGAAAATGGTATAATGAAAGTTACACAAAATAAATTTTAAAGTGTATGTTTATACTAAATTTTATGTTTGATTTGTCCACACCAATTTAGACAAATTGAATGCAAATAGATTAACCGACGAATTTTCTTCAAGTGTCGAACTCGTAACACTCTAATTTTTTATAAAAAAAAAACTAACAATTACATCATTTCAATCCATTGTAATTAAAATTACATATATCAAATGAATTTAATCATTATTATTCCTCAAATAAATATTTTAAAAATCTCACAGCAATTTCTACTAAAGTGTGTGTAAGCTTCTTTGAAACTTAGCTCACCATTGCACGTGTCAGTTCAAATGAGCTTATGATTCAAGTTATAACTAGGAAGGATTAATTCATGAATGTTGTTATATGAGGAATAAAAAGTGTTAAGGCAAATATGTCCGAGCCAGGTACCAATTACAGACCCTTCAAAAAATTTACAATGTGTTAAACTAAAGTTTTTTTCATACTCCTGCATCAATTGGCGAATTATATATGCATTCTTCTTTGTGACTTTGCAGTGAGAATTAGATAAACCATAGTGAGAGTATCACTAGATTAAGATCTGCGCGCTGTGCGGGGTTGAGATGAATATTTTAAATAATATTATAAAATTTAGATTTTAATTAATCATTAATTTGCAATATTTAAGATTAGTTTAATTTAATTGAATTACAAATTCAATTTAATAATACATTATATGATATTTTTATATAATAAATTATAAATTAAAGCTAAAAATATACGTATTTATTTTGTAAAATGTTATATGATGTAATTTTTTATAGAAATATTTATAGAGACAAAAAAATTGATACGAAAAAAATAAAAATAATGATTAGTTTAATAAAAATAAAATAAACTATATTTTAATAATTGTTGTTACGAAATTGGTTAGTATATTTTTTTTGAGTGATTTTAGTAGCTACAGTTTTATTTTTTTTATTAAGACACAAATTACTTTAATTTCTATAGAAAATAAATTTTTTTCATAAGTTCTTTTATCAAATTATTTGAAAATTGATTAATTTAATTTTTGTAAAAATTGAATCAATTCTCATAATTTTTTATCGAATTATTTGAAAATTAATAAATTTAATTTTTTTCAAAAGAAATTAGAGTGCACAATAAAAGACGTAATAAATTTTAAAAGTTTTAGTTTTGATGTATGATAATAGTATGTATTTTGATGTTCTGTGGATTTACAATTTGTATAAATATATAAATATTATATATACAATGGAGAATCAAAGGAAATAAATTAATTAATATACATGAATTTTAGTTAGAGAAATAGAAGGGGATAAGTCATAGAATATAAAAGTAGAAGTATTTTAATTAAAAGAAGTTTATAAATAAAATGTTGTATTTTAAAAAATAAATAATAGAAGTTTAAAAGGTTTAGTTTTGAAGAGTGTCACGTCACATTGAATTGTCAATAAAGTAGTGTCAATAGATTGTTTCATTCGAAGATATGCAAGTCATCTTACCTTGATTCACCAGATGAGTGATTTGTCTGCTCAATGGCTCATCGGGAATGCAAAAGAGTATTAAATACTAACTATTTATAATGATTATTAATTCCCATCATTGAAGGGAATTAGTTAATTATAGTTTCCATTTTTCTTCTACATATTTGAAATCATCACAGTTGTACTACTTTTCAGAATTAATAGAATTGACCAATGGTCAAATCTTCTTGGAATTGTGAAGGTATGATATTGCCAAATTTTTTTGAGAAGATTAGCTTGAAAGAAAAGTGATCTTGCAACATTAAAGATGTGTTGATGTTTCCTTTCAACATGGCACTCAACATAAGACCTTTGGTGCAACATGGTAAGGTATTAAGCCATATTGATGGAATTAAGATTAAGCAATATTCAATTATGAGGAAATCCTTCACACTCATGACATTATATTACTTATAATTGAAGCTACTTATAGACTATAATTGTATACGTCTTTATAATTGAAGTTACTCATAATATTATAGTGTGGCTATGAATTATGGTTATGTATTTCTATACAATGAGGCAGTTATTTTTTAGTGTACAAAGAAATAATCAATTACTACATTGTCCTTTTGTGAGATTAATCAGTATATAGCACGATCGTCTTATGTCAATCAATTTGTCTTAACTCTTTGTTGGAGGAACTAAGGTGTGAAGTTCAAAGTCTATAAAATTAATAATTGATAACAAATCTGCAATAAATTTGGTCAAGAATCGAGCTCGCATGGAATTAAGAAGCAAATATATTGAAACAAAATTTTACTGTATATGAGATCATGATATTCATAAAATCTATATCGTGTATTTATTCAATTCCCATATACTTGTGTTACACATTACTCTTGTTAATTAACAATAATTTCTGCAACATTTAAGCAATGTTCTCTCAATGGAATCTCCTATATCCATCATATCCTGTATGAACAACAGTGTTTTCATTAGATAAAGAGCCAAGACATATTATAAAAATAAAAATAAAAATTAATAATAAAATACATAAACTTACTGAATATATTCAATATTAATATTTGCATTAGGGAAACGTGAGATAGCTGCAAAAGCCTCAGTTGACATATGAAAAGTGTGGGGGCATGAAGACTTTGTACAAGAAGTAATAGAATCAACAACTTTAACATCAATACTACCACCTTTGCATGGCTTATTCATTCCACTCACACATCTCACTCTGTACCTTCTTCCACATGCTGCACCATTATCCCATAACCCTTCATTCACTGCCACAAATATATTTCCTGGAGGAAACTGGTCCCTCCTACTTCCATCACAAGAAGTAGCTGCATAATCAACCAACAAGTACGTAAAATTATTATCATGCAAACTAAATATGACACACATGTTAGTCCTGATAAATAAACTCAATTGATAGCTGTGTAGAAACATCTGATTACAGAAACGCAGGTTCGAATCAGCGACATGTAAATTGTTGACTCACGTATATATGGAGGTCCATAAGAAACCGCAGTACCAACATCGGCAAGAATTAGGGTCGTCATTTGTATGAGCAACAGGCTTGAAATTATGACAAGGTTTAATACTTTCATTATTCTTTTTCAAACCAAGATATGCTAACTAGTAGTATTTCTTTTGGCTTGATGCTGCGTTTGCATTCTCAATTTATAAGCATCATCAAGACTAATTTTCATGTTTATCACGACTCTAATTTTTTAAAATAAATTAATAGTTGATAATGGAAATCATGTCATGAGATTATCAACTTCACGGTTTAATTTTTATTTAATTTCAAAAAGTTACAGATGAGGTTTGTGAGATTAAACAAAGAAACGACCCACCATGATGTTAATGGAATATGAGAAAGCAAGAACCTATTCGTGCGTGATCGAGTTCCATTAATGACGGCTATTCGTGTAGTGGTATTTTTTTTTAAAGAATTCAAACATTCATTGTATTCTCAAGTTTTCAGTCAAGGATTTGATTTCAGAACACTGTATCTCGTGGCAATTTATGCATCACTAGTTTCATTTTTGACATGTGTGTAATAATGTTTTACTATGTGATTTGTGCAAGTGATGGATTGGTTTGCTTTAAATAAAAAGAAAATTTAATGTGGCATTTTTTTATTTGGCTAAAAGAAGTTAGAGACATTGGAGAGTGCATGTCATTCTAATTAGGTTGATACTATTAGAATATTAATGATAATTCATATTTATTTAGTTGTACTATTTTCTTAGCCCATAAGTTTGTTAGAGGGTATTTTAGTATTTATCCTATTCTAGTAACCCTAGTTTTAGCTTATAAATAGGGTGACAATCATTGTAACCTAATGTCATGTTTTGTAGCCGTCATTCTCTTATTAGTAATATTTCCTATTTCATCATTTATTCTATCTTTGCACCAACAATTGGTATCTAGAGCTCCGGTTCTGATTCATTGGGAAACACGGGAAACACGAGTGAACGTGAGGTCTTGTGTGATTGATTTTGTTTCTTAGATTCACGTTGAATCTTGAACAAAATCTGATCAGAATTTTTAAAAAAATTCTGTGGGTTGGGAAACACTGTGTGAGAAAACTCTGAGTGTATTGTGCAAAGTAGAAGATGAACGGAAACGGCAACATGAACACCAAACTTCCAGTATTTGATGGTAAAAACTGGAATCGTTGGATGATCCAAATGCGTGTACTGTTTGGTGCTCAAGATGTTCTGGATCTTGTCACTGATGGTTATGTTCCAGTAGCAGCAGATGCAACTGATGAACAGAAAAACGCGCAGAAGGAAGTAAGGAAGAAGGATCAGAAAGCATTGTTCTTCATTCATCAATGTGTGGATGTAAACGTGTTTGAGAAGATTGCAGACTCTACAACAGCAAAGGCTGCATGGGACACTCTGGTGAGATGTTATGGTGGTGACGCATCAGTGAAGAAGGTGAAGCTTCAGTCCTTGAGAAAGCAATATGAGAATCTCAACATGAAGAATAATGAGAAAGTTTCTGAATACATCTCCAGAGTGATTCTGATCACTAATGAGATGAAGGCATGTGGAGAAACTCTTTCTGAAGAAACAATCATGGAGAAAGTATTGAGATCCCTTACTCCTCAATTTGATTACATTGTGGTAGCAATAGAACATTCCAAAGATCTGAGCACAATGAGAATTGAAGAGCTGCAGAGCAGTTTAGAAGCGCAAGAGTTGCGTTTGACTGAGAGAAACTCTGAAAAGGAAGTAGAACAGCAGGCTCTGAAAGCAACTTCTGATAGGAGGTATCAGAAGCAGTCAGAAGCCAGGAGAAGATCTGATGGTGGTCAGAAGTCAGAAAGCTCAACCTCTGATAGACAAAAGAATGCTCAGAAGGGAAAAGAGAAGTATGACAAGAAGAAGATCCAATGTTACTGTTGTAAGAAGTTTGGTCACTTTGCTAGAGATTGTTGGTCAAACAAGGAGAAGAAATCAGAAGAAGCAAATATAGCCAGAAGTTCTGATGACGAATCTGTGCTATTGATGGCCTCTGAATCTGATGATCTGACAGACTGGTGGTATATGTACACTGGCTGTTCAAATCATCTTACTGGAAACAAGAAATGGCTGGTTGACTTTGACTCTGAAAAGAGGACAAAGATCAGATGTGCTGATGACAAATATCTTAATGCAGAAGGTATGGGAAATGTCAGAGTGACTCTGAACAATGGGAAAACAGCATTGATTCAGAACGTGTGGTATGTACCTGGCATCAGAAGCAATCTGATGAGTGTGGGACAATTAATTGAGAAAGGTTTTTCAGTTACCATGAAGGACAATCTTCTGAAGCTGTATGACTGCAATCAGAAGCTGATTATGGAGTCAGAACAGGGAAGGAATAGAACATTCAAGGTGAATGTCAGAACTGCAGACTCAGAGTGTCTTAGTGCAACAAGTACTGAGAAGGAGAGTGAGCTGTGGCACAGAAGATTTGGTCATTTGAATTTCAGAAGCTTACAACATCTGAATTCAAAGAAATTGGTACATGGAATTCCTGCAATTAAGAAGCCTGAAAAGTCATGCAAAGTTTGCATGGAAGGAAAACAACCAAGATTGCCATTTGCATCAGAAGTTGCTCCAAGAGCAAAACATGCCTTGGGAGTTGTACACTCTGATGTGTGTGGTCCATTTCCAGTAGCATCAATTGGAGGGAATAAATACTTTGTGTTGTTTGTTGATGAATTCACAAGAATGACATGGGTATCCCTTATTAAGTTCAAACACGAGGTGTTTGATGAATTCAAGAAGTTCAGAATGAAGGCTGAGAATCAGAGTGGTCAGAAGTTGAAGATTCTTAGAACTGATGGTGGAGGTGAGTATAACTCCAAAGAGTTCCAGAAGTTCTGTGAGGAGAATGGAATTGAGCATGAGGTTACTGCTCCTTATACCCCTCAACACAATGGTCTTGCTGAAAGAAGAAACCGTACTTTGCTTGATATGGTGAGAAGCATGCTAAAGGAGAAGAAGCTTCCTCAGAAGCTCTGGGGAGAAGCTGTTGCCACTGCAACGTATGTACTCAACAGATGTCCTACGAAGAAGTTGAAGGAAATAGTTCCTATGCAGAAGTGGACTGGAGACAAGCAAAGTGTTAGTCATCTGAAGGTATTTGGTTCTGTTTGCTATAAACATGTTCCAGAAGCCAGAAGACAGAAGCTGGATGATAGAAGCAAAGTGATGATTCTGATAGGGTACCACAGTACAGGTGCATACAAGCTCTATTGTCCAGAAACCAATAAAATTGAATTCAGCAGAGATGTGATTGTGAAGGAATCAGAAGTTTGGAATTGGGATAAGTCTCAATCTGATTCTGATGTTAGAACCTCTGAAGAAAGGCCAGAGTTAAGAATTTCTGAAGTTGAAGTAAACCCTGATATTGACTCTGACTCTGATACTGATTCAAACTCTGAAGAAGACTCAGAAGATGAAGGTGACCCAGATGACCCAGACTCTGATGATTCAGACTCTGATGGCAATCCAGATCTTGGTGGCAATTCAGACTCTGGAAATATGCCAGACTCTGAAGATGGTCAAAGCTCTGGAGGTCAATCATCTGAAGTTAGAAACTCTGAAGCTCAAGACTCTGAACAAGTTCAGAGACCACAAAGAATCAGAAGCGTTCCCAGAAGATTTGCAGAATTTGACATGCTGCAAGACACTGAAGTAGACTCTGAAGGAGAAGTTATTCAGTGTGCCATGTTAGTAGACTCTGAACCTATAAGTACAGAGGAGGCTCTTAAGCAGAAGCTCTGGCTGAAGGCCATGAAAGAAGAACTTGATGCTATAGAGAGAAACAAGACTTGGAAGCTGACAGAACTTCCAAAAGACAAGAAAGCCATCAGCGTCAGATGGGTTTTCAAGCAGAAGTTAAAGCCAGATGGCTCAATTGGCAAACATAAAGCAAGGTTGGTAGCCAGAGGATTTCTACAGAAACCTGGGCTGGATTATTCTGAAGTGTTTGCACCTGTAGCAAGACATGAAACAATCAGAATGGTGATTGCAATAGCTGCTAACAGGAATTGGCCTCTGATGCATTTAGATGTAAAATCTGCATTTCTGAATGGTCCATTAGAAGAAGAAGTTTACGTGTCACAACCTCCTGGATTTGTGAAAAAGAATCAGGAAGGGATGGTGTACAGATTATACAAAGCTCTATATGGATTGAAACAAGCGCCCAGAGCTTGGAATCAGAAGATTGATTCATTTTTCAAGAAGCAAGGCTTTCAGAAATGTGAGATGGAGTACGGTGTCTATGTTCAACATACTCTTGAAGGCAATATGACTCTGGTATGTTTATATGTTGATGATATACTGCTGACTGGAAGTTCTGAACAGGAGATAGCCAAGTTCAAGAAGGTTCTAATGAATGAATTTGAAATGACTGATCTAGGCAAAATGACATACTTTCTAGGGATGGAGTTCAGATATTCTGAGAAAGGTATCATTTTGCATCAGCTCAAGTATGAATTAGAACTTCTGAAGAGATTTGATCTGAAGAATTGTAAGATGGCTGTCACACCTTCTGATACAAATCAGAAACTGGATTCAGACTCTGAAGGAAAGGATGTGGATGCTACAACCTTCAAACAGTTGGTTGGTTCTCTGAGGTATCTGTGCAATACCAGACCTGATATTTGCTACTCAGTTGGGATGGTTAGTAGGTTCATGAGTAAACCTAAGTGGTCCCATTACCAAGCTGCTGTCAGGATTCTGAGGTATATCAAAGGAACTCTGAAGTATGGAGTGTTATTTCCCTCTGGAGGAAATAATGAGTCAGAACTTCTGAGTTATTCAGACTCTGATTGGTGTGGAGACAGAGTTGACAGAAGAAGTACATCTGGGTACTTGTTCAAATTTCTGGGAGGTCCCATTTCTTGGTGTTCCAAGAAGCAACCTGTTGTGGCGTTGTCAACCTGTGAAGCTGAATACATTGCAGGTGCTGTTACTGCATGCCAAGCTGTGTGGATTCTGAATCTGTTGCAGGATCTGAAGATTAAGGTAGACAAACCTCTGAAGTTGATGATTGACAACAAGTCTGCAATCAACCTTGCCAGAAACCCAGTGCTGCATGG